AAAAGTTGGCTGATGGCTAGATGGCTGCCTTGTCGTACTCCAGAAGTAACCTTAACAGGTGAAGAGAAGGAGTTTTTGAGAGGACTCCTTGAGACCTAGAACGAAGGTAGCTAGAAATCCATCTCAAAAGATTAGGCGGAAACCCTAAACGGTCAAGTTTTTGTGCTAGAAGGGAATGGTTTACAGAATCGAATGCTTTACTGAAATCAGTGCAAATGACATCCGTGTGCAAGTTACCTTGGAAGCCTTTAATGATAAAAGAGGTAAACTCTAATAAATTTGTGGTTGTTGATTGTCGCCTTATAAATCCGTGCTGGGACGGAGTTATAAGTGATTTGCAGAGATGTTGCAAGTGCGGAGTTAAAATTTTTTCAAACATTTTAGGAATAGCGGATAACTTAGATATACCTCTATAATTATTTCCATCAGACTTGCTACCTTTCTTATGGAGCGGAATAATACAAGATTTCTTCCAGATTGGGGGGAAGCGTGAAGAGTTATTGGATAGGGTGAATAGTTTAAGCAAGGGTCCACACAGAGCGTCGGCACAGTACCTAAGTTCACAGCTGGGAACTCCGTCGTGACCTGGTGAAAACACCGATTTAACTAGTCGAAGATCATGAAGCAGTGAGCTTTCATTTAACAAGTGGCTGAAAATGCCGTTCGACCTTGTTAAACTGTATGGATACGGCTGACCAGAGTAGCTTTCATGAGAATAGGTTGTTTCGAAAAATTTGGCAAAAAGATCGTCAATTGACTGATCATTGTTTGCTGACATACAATGATAGCGAAGATAGATGTGCGGACGTTCTACGTATACTATTTACGAAGCCGTAAAACTGTTAAGAGTCCTGTAAAAATCGTATCCTACATCGCGATAGGTAATTTTTATAGCATTGAGCGAGAAAGAGAATAGGGAGAACCAACTTTTTGACACGTTCAGATACCAATATCGACCAACACTTCCAATGTAGGATGGTAGGAGTCTTCAAGTATAGTGAGCGGAAGGGCTCGAGCTAACAACGCTATGGTCGGATCCGAGCCAAAGCACAGATCAAGCAATCGACCAAACGAATTTTTCACATGGTTGACTTGAGACAGGGATAGGTCTAGCAAGCCGTCGATAAAGTCATATCGTGACATGGCACAATATTATTAGGCTCGTTTACGGAGGACCAAACAGTACCTGGAAGATTGAAATCACCAAGAACTATCATATGGTGTTTATCTGATAGCGAAGAAGAAACAGTTTTTAAAGCGGACAGATGATGCTCGTATATTCAGATATCCGAGGAAGGTGGAATATAGGAGCAAGTTATGAAAATGGAAAAGCCTGGTAGAACGAGAAGGAACGTGTGAGTCGCTTCTGGGGACGCGACTCTACTTATACCCGTACTCAGTCTGTATATTCATTTTTGAGCCAATTATTTTTTAGAATTGAAAAAAAAAAAATGTATCTATTTATTTATCTGTTATCTACATCTACATCTACAATGTATATTCTACATCTAACATGTAGATTGTACATGTACCATTTAGATTCTACATCATCTCCGCTAGGGGTTGCTCGCGCACTGAACGCGGCAGAGTGTGCGAGCGAGAAAGAGAATCAGTAGCGTCGGCAGCGCTGGAGAAGGAGAGGGAACCAACAGAAAATTAATTTCTTCATTCTGGCTATAATTATGATCCGATCTGACTCAGATTCGGCAATATGGTAGATATAGTCATTTTCTACGATACTGCGTTTTTAGTTTTATCGTATCTTTAAAATTGTGCCTGCCACAGATTTTCGTTCTTTGTTGGGGCGGAAGGGGGCGGGGCGAAATTTTGAAATACACTTGTAGCAGTGTGATATCACATGAGTCTGGAAACCAAATTTGGTTTCTCTAACTCTTATAGTCTCTGAGATCCAGGTGCTCATCGAGACGGACAGACGGACGGACGGACAGACGGACATGGCTATATCGACTCGGCTATTGATGTTGATCAAGAATATATATACTTTATGAGGTCGGAAACGTTTCCTTCTTTGCGTTGCACACATCCACTTTTACCACAAATCTAATATACCTGGGCGCCCCCCCCCCCCCCCCCCCCCCCCCCCCCCCCCCCCCCCCCCCCCCCCCCCCCCCCCCCCCCCCCCCCCCCCCCCCCCCCCCCGCCCCCCCCCCCCCGCCCCCCCCCCCCCCCCCAAGTCGGCCCGCCTGCCGGGTTGAAGCTACCTGAGTTCGGTGGGGGCTCTCGTCCTCGTTTGGGGCTGTCCCCCTATGTGGCCCCCTGTGTGGCTCTTTGTCGCTAAGGGCCCGCTGGCCGTTCGTCGCTGGATTAGCCCGCCCTCCTTTCTCTCTCACAAACGTTTACCGTCCTTCGGCCTGTCCGCTTGCGCGTGTGCCTCCTGCCCTGCCTCGGCTGGGGTGTCCCTCGGGGGCGCCCCCCGTGGGGGTCGTCGGCTACCCCCCCCTTCCCCGTTCTGGGCGGCCGGGTCCCCCTGTCCCCGTCGGACCCCCTCCGCCTTGCCCCCCGTCCCCTCGCTCTGCCCCTCCCCCCCGGGCTGCCCTCCCTCCTCCTCCCCGCCCCTCCCCCCTCCCCCCCCCCCCCCCCGCCCCCCCCCCCGGCCCCGCCCCTCCGTGGGGCCGCCCCCCCCCCCCCCGCCTTGGGCCCCCCCTGCGGTCCCTGTCGTGCTGGGCTGTTGCCCCCCCCCCCCCCCCCCCCCCCCCCCCCTCTCCTCGCCCCCCTCCCTGTCTCCCCCCTCTCTGTCGCTCCCCCGCTCCGCCCCCTCCATCTCCCCCTTCTTATCCTTCGCTCTTATCCTCTCCCCTAAACTATATATATATGAACAATCATCCTATTCCTCCGCTACTGAAGAGCTCAGTCCCAACCCCTTAACTCTTTTTTGAGTACGGGTATAAAAATTGAGTCGGGGAGACGCTTATCTTGAAGGAAGATATCTCCCTGGCGTAAGAAAAGTTAAATTTTTCCACCTTTAAGCCGACGGCTTTTATTTTGCTTTGTATAAAAGCGGTCACATCATTGGATGTGAGGTCGGGGGCTAGCCGCAAGACAAAAACTTGTGGCTTTGGTGGGACTCCCACCAGTGGCTTTGGCACCACAGGCCTAGTACCTGTGATGCCAGCATCCGGTGGTCCTGGACATTTAAGCTGGTGGGAGCGAAACTGATGGGATAGTTAAGGAGTTGGGTGCGGACTCGACGGACACGGACGCTACAGACATGTCTACCTGCATACTCTCCGAAGTGACACATTCGGCTCCCGAATCTGCATCACCAGCAGCGATTGTTGCCCCTGGAGTGGCAAACGTAATCAACTGCTGCACTAAGGGAGTGGTCGGAGTAAGTTTATCAGATGCCGGCGGACATGAGGCAGTCGGCACCTGCAAGTCCCGCGGAGTAGACTCTTGCGCCTCGGAGATTCAGCCAGCAACTGTAAACTGCTGAACTGAGTGTCCATGGCCAAGAGCCGATCATATTGCTGTTTAAAGCCTACAATCAGCCTACGATAAGGATATTGGGCTGGTCATGGGTGATCTGCTTCTTACAGGTTTTTTTGGCACAGACGACAGCAAAATCCATAATGATGTCATTTATTTTTTTTTTTGAGAAAAAAAAGTTCAAAGCAAATAGCAATCAGACCAATGTGCCGAGCAAATGCTTAAAGCGAAATCGGTCAAATTAAGATGAGAGAGGAGAGTGGTTGTAGCAACAATTTATAAGTCAGACCGTTAGTGTACAGAAAGTTATGAGAGCGAGAAAGAACAGTTATTGAGAGTTAGGTGGTAAAGAAAGAATGATAGACGGCAATAACTACGACAAAGAGCGGCTAAATGTAATGAGAGGGTGTACCTAAGAAAAGCAACAACACAAACACACGACTAAGCGACGCACAAAATTAATAAAGTAAGTTGTGTTTTTGAACAATTATTAGGCATGCACTCGCGGTAAAGAGCGATTTTAAGATAAGTTAGTTGAGAGTTAAAAAAGAGTTAAAGCATAAAAGGAAAATGCAGAGCGCAAAACAAAAACACGTCTGGTCACTACGAAAGAGAACGAACGATATAGTTATATCTATTATATCCAATAAAATCACAAATTTATTCATTACAACTTCTTGAAATTTTGTTTTTGTGATGATCATCTGCTGTTTTTGATGGATTGTAATTGTCAACAGCGTGGATCTGTCCTTTACATTTTTCGAAAATTCCCACGATTCACCCAAGATGTGCTCTTTGTAGAGGTATAAAATTTATAAAGTAAGAACTACTCAGAGGCAGAGATACCGAACCAAACACAATATAATAATAAAATGCGTAACACTCATACATTTCAATTGCCATATGCAAGCAACTTTTCGGCAAGCGACGAAATTCGCGCCATTTCGATCCCATAAATTGGAGAGCGTAAAAATCTAAGAATATAATGCGCTTGCATGTGTTTTTTTGAAACCCCTGAAAATCTTTTTGCTATTGACTGATTGGAAAATAAAAAAATTATATTCTCTGGATTCATATTTAATTTCTTAATATTATGTATTTATTTATATCTTAAATAAATGCAATTTCGGTAAATAAATTTCAGGCAGATCAGAAATTTTGGCAAAACGTGGCTTCACGAAAATTTTCTTATTGACACGACGCACGCCGAATACCCTAATGTGCACACATACAGTCGCCGGCTGCCGCTATATGCATACAAGAGAGCGGCTGGCTTTAGAGCGCTCACCCTGGTTTTTGAACAAAATTTTAAGAGAGCCTGGAGCCTGAAAAATATGAGTGCCAAAATATCGTATGCCGATAAGCATCTTATTGTTATGTTGTCTTTGGCCGAACGGTATGTAACGGCAAAATGTGAATTTTGTCAAACAGCTGCAGCTTAGACGTTTAACCATAGACTTTGAAAAAATTTTTTGACCAAAACCAAATACTATAAATAAAAACTATAAAAGAAATATTACTATACTGTGTATGTAATAACTGTAATAACAAACCTGTGTGCGTTCTCATATGTCTTTTTAAAAGACTTGGTCTATCGAAAGATTTGCTGCAAACGTCACAGGGTAACAGAGATCTCTCGTTTCTCATTGCTCGTCTTTTTGGTGTCTGATATATGTACTTATTTATATCTACAAATGAATGGTTAAAAAAAAATCAGTCAAGCTTGGATGCTTAATTTATTAATTTAATTTGTATTAACTTAATACCTGAACAATTGCTTAAGGTTGACTTATGTTCGTCTTCACTTGATGGAGGAGAAAGCGGTAAATTTGGTAATCTATACATTAATGATAATGATAAATCCAGTGGACTATCTAAAAATAAATTATATTAAGGAATTTAAATAGGTTTTAAATAGATGCGTAAACTTTAATTACACTGTGCGACAAAATGTTAACTTTTGAATGTACTTTGCACGAGACAAAATTATATTGTAGGCCATGTTTAGTTGATCTCATGCCAATACTTAGATCTCGCAATATACCATAAAAATATTTTTTAGAAATTTATGGGCTTGAAATCTACTCAACCTGGCCCTGGCCTGCAAACTAATTTTTTTATTGGTTCATGATATAAAATTACTATCGCACAGTGTTTTAATTGTATAGACGATATATGAACATTAGTAATATTTTTTAATGTTGCCTACCTTTTACAAAGGATTCCATTGCCTTTTTATACAACATTGAGTGAATATGTGTAACAATACTCTGTTCCGGCCGTTCTGGCAAGTAGTACACTACTAATTCTTGATGTATCATAATTGATTTAACTACCTCATACATAGGATCGCCCTTGACTTTTGTGCAGATAAGATTTACGTTGGAATCATATGAAGAAGAAACTGTAAGGAATCTTATCCAGTTGCAGTGATGTACTCGTTTTCCGTATTTGTATGAAACTTCATCATATAACCCAAATGTATATCGACACTGAAAAAACAATTTTTTAAATATTCATAAAATGAAAGATTATGTCGGGTATATCCGAGATTAAATCAAGATGAACCATATTAATCGACTAAACCAATGACAATATGACAGAAATAAACCCCCTTTGTCTTATAGATTTGGGGCTCCAAAGACTTTTAATTTATTTTAGGTGCAGCCAAAGACAATATAAATAGTAAAATGAGTCACACCCATACATTTTTTTCTTCCTGACTGAAGAGCTGGATCCAGGCTCTCCTTAAATTTGTTTATAAGACAGAGAGAAAGAGCACTTTAGAGCAAGCCGCTCTCTCGTAAGAGTTCAGAGGCAGCCGACGACTGTGTGTGTGAACACTAGACTGGGCTTAAATTTGTTTCAAATCTTTAGTTTAATGTTTGCGGGTTGCTAACAAAAAAAAAATTGAATTCGTCGGTTTTTTCAAATAATATTGAAACTTAGAAACTAGTTCATATTGATAATAGGGTGTTTTAATTTATTTTTTGTAGTTACTGTTAAAAAATTTAACGATTGGTGAAAATTAAGAAGTTCAGCTGAGGTTGATATATTTAGTTAACTAGTTCGCAAAAACTTTTGCAGGTTTTTTACTGCCAATAACTGATTAATGACGATATTAATGGTATCAATATATATGCAATAGATTTAACCAAATTATCAAATATATTTAGAAATTTTTTTTTTTTTAATTTTCTTGCTTAAAATTTTTTGTAAAATATGGTCTGCATGATTACATTCATTTTTTACTGGACAGTACCACTAACCATACAGTATATAGATGTGCCAGTTCATACATCGAAAGGGGCGCAAGCTGAGTGTTCTGTCCCGGCTCCCAGCGCTTCGGCTCTGTGAGGCTGAGACACTCGGGTCGGGAGCCAGGCCATTCGGGTCGGGAGCTGGGCCGTTCGGCATGTATGACTCATGTCGGGAAGCGAAAGCAAGCTGAGAATTGCAAATGTATGTGTGTAAACAGACACGACAAAATTTTGTATCAATTCTTATTTTCCGAAACCGTTTTGAGTTTCGTTTCCAGGTTACGTAAATGTGTGTGTGCCATGTATTCACACATACTGTGCTTGTGTGTGGGCTCTACAATTGTTGGCCGCTTGAATTGGTTTTTCGTTTTGTTTTGAGGGCTGATGTGATGTAGCGACCTATTAGGGCCGGATACTTTATGTTTGTGGTTGCAACCAACCTTTTCAAAATAGCAAAGTGGCATAACAACCAGACGTAAGATGTTAGGGTTATGTGTAAAAAAAACAATCGCTACCCCTGAAAAAAGGTTAAAAAAAAATACCAGTTTTCAAAAATTCTTTAAAAAAAAGTTCTTGCCATATAGAGAAAAAAAAATATCATCAAACCAATTCTAAGCCCTAAATCTTTTCGTTTTGTTCCTTGAGGAAAAATCGTGTTGACTAGTGTTATTAAATGGAGAATTAAAACTCTGCAAAACAAGGACGAAGCAAGGTATGGGAGATCTTTTCGTGGATTAAAAATGAAAGCGGTACCGAAGTATATAATGCAGTGGTGTGCAACACATGCAAAAATGTGTATAAATTCGAGAAAAGCACATCGAATGCACATAGCACAAATGCTATGTAATGGCAAATTGTCGTAAGCGCAGCCATCCTGACGTAGACGTAGATGCTGAATCGAAGAAGAAGTGCACCAAGTTAGCAACTGAATGGACGGTTAAGAATGGGCGACCCTTCAATATAATAGCGGACTCAGGATTAAAAAACTTAGCCCAGTTTTTTATATCTGTTGGTGCTAAGTTTGGGGCAAACATAAATGTCGAGTCGTTATTGCCACATCCCACAAGCATCTCACAGAACATCGGAGCTCTTTATGAATTTCATTTTAATGAAATAAAAAAAGAAATTGTGGAGTTTAAGAAATTTGGATACGGCATAACTTCGGATATATGGACGGACGATTTTTTTAAAGAATCGTATATATCCCTGACGATTTATTATATAAAAGAAGGAACCCTTAAAAACCGCCTACTGGCAGTGAAATCAATGGATGGAGTTCCTGTACCTGTAAAATTTTATTGATTGTGATTGTATCAATATTAAAAACCAACATCTCTTAGGTGATCGAATTAAAAAGAAAATCGAAAGTATTTTACGGGACTTTGGGTGTGATTTGCTGATGGATAGACCCGTAATAGTAACTGACCGAGGAGCCAATATGAAAGCTGCATTCAGTGGATTGAGCACTTTAAACTGTGTAAATCACTTAGATCACAATATTATTGGTAAAGTTGTCAACGAGGTGCCCGAATTATTGGAAATGGTTAATCGCTGCAGCAAGCTTGTTAAATATTTTAAGAAATCGGGTAAAAACTCTATTTTAAAAAGCACCCTTCAAAGCTACTGCCCTACTCGCTGGAATAGAATATTTCACCTTTTCAAGTCAGTTGAAATGAACTGGATGGAAATCTCAAACATTTTATTAGAAAACAATGAAATAAGTAGAATACAGGATATAAATCTAAGCAACATTAGCGCAATGGTGAACCTTTTAGCTCCTTTTAAAGCTTGTTCAAAAAAGCTAGAGGGTAGCAGCTATCCAACATTGCACCTGACTATTCCATACATAAATAATTTTTAAAAAATAACCTCACTTCATGATAATGATATTGAAATAGTAAAAAAAAGCAAACTTTCCCACAACACATATTTAGATAAAATAGTTCAAGCCAATTTAAAACATTTTCATAACATAGCCCTTTTTTTGTTCCCACCCACCAATAAACTATCACAATTTACAGACCTTGAGAAGAAACAAACAGTAAAAGACATAGAGTCAATTATGATAGGTATTCAGTTAAATAGCCAAGCCATTGAAAATGAAAAAATATATTCACCCAAACCAAAAATCAACTCAATATTTTCAGATTATGCACAACTCATTCAGACCAATAATATACTAACAATAATAGCTAATGAAATTCAAAATTACAAAAATTTTGATGTTTTGCAATGGTGGACTAGCAACAAAACCCAATTTCCGTTGCTTTTCAAAACCAGTTCGAAGACATTAGCCGTTCCAGCGAGCAGTGCAGCATCTGAAAGGGCCTTTTCGGTAGCTAAAAATCTAATAGCCGAAAAACGCTGCAAAATAGCCAACACCGAGGATATGGTTAATAAAATTATGTTTTTACACTCAAATATTGATAAATTAGAATTTACACAATTAGTTTTTTAGTAAAATATATTATCTCCACTTTATAATTCATTTATAAACACCAATTTATATTTATTGTATATTGTTTTTCTTGCATATGACATATCTGATTTTTTCTTTTACTTCCTGTTTTTACTAACTGTACAGTATGTATACTGTACTCACTAACTACTGTACAACTAGGGAGTGAGTGAGAACACTAACTGTCAATACAGCAGCAGGGGTCGGCACACAGACTCACACATTTTTTTGGTGCGTTTGTGTGCGAAGAGAACAGACACGAAGTCAAATACGTTACTTATTTCTCTGCCGCTGCGAAAGCCGAGGAATTGTGCATATGGCTTCTCTGCCGCTGAGGCAAGCGAGCAGAATATGAAGCCGTTTGTGCATAGCCCGCTCTGCCGCTACGTCAGCAGAGCAGAATTTTCTCTGCCGCTACATCATCAGGCAGAATAACGAAACCACACGAAGTCTTTACGCTGTACGTGTGCCCACTTCGCTGCCCGAAATTTTTTCCTATGCACAGTGCATACGACGCTGCCGGCCTCTGCAATACCGGCACTATGACAGCATTCACTCACACTCCGTTGACGCTGTACAGTCAAAAACGTGTACCCGTTTTCAGAATGAATGACTCATTTGCCCATTTGGATAAATTCATGTACATTCTAAACAAATTTTTTAATTTTACAGAATTTTAAATTTTTTTTACATTTGTTATCTACATCTACAATGTATATTCTACATCTAACATGTAGATTATACATGTGCTCGAACACTGACCGAGGCAAAGTGTGCGAGCGAGAAAGAGAATGAACGCTACTCATTGAGATTTCTACTTTAAAAATTTCCGTGAGAATTGAAGTGGATGTACTAATGCACAAAAGAAAACTGTTCCGACCCCATACACTTTATCTCAAAAAGAGTTTTAAAAGTGGTGAGGTGCGGCACTACTATTTCATTTAACACAACTTTATGCAAGGCTTGCATTAATACTAAAGTTCTAATATCCTATAATTGTGCACTCTATTCCGTAAACTCTAAGCAGTTTAAAAATGTCGCTTTCTACACAGAAATAACTTTTTTTTATTCAAAAACGGTTTTAATGTGTTATTCTTGGATCAAGTATGTATGTATGTATGTATGTATATTAGGCTGGGCCAAAATTTGAGCAAAATTTGTTCTTTCTGTTTTTTCAAGTGGACACCCCCCCAAATCTGTTCTTTGTTATTCAATAAAATTATGCAGTTTTTAGTTTAATGTTTGGGGGTTGCTACCACGAAAAGAAAATGCAAATTTTTGGGTAAATATACATAAAAAAAATTTAATTCGTCGGTTTATTTCAAATAATATTGAAACTTAGAAACTAGTTCATATTGATAATAAGGTATTTTTATTTTTTTTTTTGTTAATGTTAAAAAATTAACGATTGGTGAAAATCAAGAAGTTCAGCTGAGGTTGATATATTTAGTTAACTAGTTCGCAAAAATGTGCAGGTTTTTTACTGCCAATAACTGATTAATGACGATATGAATGGTATCAATATATATGCAATAGATTTCACCAATTGTCCAACTCATTCGTCAAAAATTTTTTTTTTATTTTTTATTGATTAAATTTTTGTGTAAAATTCGGTAGCAACCTCTAAAAAATTAAAAAAAATAAAAATAAAAACATGTAAATTACTATTAAATCCAAGGTAACAAAACTAGGGGGTGTCCCGTTTGAATTTCGAAAAAAAGTTTTTTGGCAAAGCCTAATGTATATGTGTATACTTTTCAGATCCTCACCTTTC